GTTACTTACAGCATTCATTCATTGAAACACATTCTCCACTGGCATCTCGTAATTGACCTTCTAAACAGAGACAGGCTGGTGCGTAACAATCTGTTGATATCGATGCACATGGCAATGGATTTATGAGATGTTCGCAAGTCCGTACACAGATCTCGTGGTAGCATTTAAAATACTTCTCGTTAGCAGCACATTCTGAAATACAGAATACTAATCTATACCAATACCTAAGATTATATAGATTGATATTAGTAGAGCATTGAACCTCAAAAACGGGTCAACTTTTTGTCAACTAATTGTCAAATTAGTTGAATCTTATTTTTTAACAGGTTCTATATACTAACGTATAAAATGTATATTGACGTATTATATAACAATTAAAATGAATGTATACGCATTAAAAAGATGCAGAAATTATAAGATAAAATAAATATAAATTTATAAAAGAATTACTCATAACTATTTATCACGCAAAATTGTATGAAAAAGTTAACCCACTTTTCTGGAAGCATTTCAATGGAGACACTCTATCTATATAATGTAAGGTGTGACGGTTCGCCTATAGTACAATAGGTTTAATACCATAAGTACATAGAAAAGAAACAGGGGTTCCTATTGGTGACCGCTACGAAAACTGAGCTATTTAATATAAACAAACTTTAAAGTCAAGGTTCACAATAGCGTACAGAGAAGACGTTACCATATATGAAATATTGACACTGAAAGGAAACTCCTTTGATGTGTTTCCAAAGTGTAGTGGATGTCACAAGAAAATTTAATAAATTAAACAAAAATATATTATATTTTATATATAACCATATTATAGTTTACCTTTTATCATCAGATGTAAAAAAGGATGCATACAACACAGTTTAATAAGGTTTATGAGAGCCTTTAAAGTTTTATAAATTCGATAATCAATTTAATAGAAAATACCAAAATACGTTAACATATAATTAAATTGAATTTAAAGAAAAGTTCAGTTCGAATAATAGGCTAAATCTGATTATTGAATTATCTACCCTTCGGTGACATAATCTATGACGTTACTAAAAGAGAAGGAAAGAAAAAAAAAGGGACGGCGGATCGGCGGGCGCGCGGGAGTCGGTTTTTAGGAATTGAGAAGAAAAAAAAGAAAAAAAAATGGCGCGGGAGTCGTGTTTTAAGGAACTGCGCAATAAAATAAAAAAATAACTAGGATATAGATCTAGGAGGGACTGGTTCGATGAAGGGGTTGGAGATCTTAGTGTATCACTATGGATTGAGTGTGTGAAATTAATCAATAGAAGACTGGAGAATCCGGTGAGCTTGTTCCATTTATTACTACGTAGTTAGATTTTTGACTGTGATCACAGGCAAAGTCTATACTTAATATTTTTCCCAACAACTGTTAAAATACGTATTTAGTCGAGTCCATATACCTTTAGGTAATGCGTATATCGTTAAATGCAATCACATTTGAACAAAGTTTACATCAATATAATTTACGTACTTACGTTATTCTACTCATATAAAAAATCCAATTATATGGTCGTTTGATAGAACTTCATCAATTTGATTCAATGTTCTAATTGTCCAGTTTGGAAAATACTTATTGAATCAACTATTGAACTAGTTTCATATCTAGTTATTATAAAGTATTTATTTATTGAGGATAATAGACTAAAGTGACTATGGTCTGGTCTCATTGCTGGGGAAACAGCCATTGATGAGAGAGAGGGGTTATTGAGTGGCGACCCTGTAAATGCAAGTGCGGTGTGGGCTACCTCCATTGTTTGGAGTGACTGTTTTATGTGTATTGTGGGGCCGTTCCTTGTGTCAGTCGGTGGAAATTGCCTGTGCTCAGTCGTGGGTTGGTGATGGTTGAGACGATGATGATGATGAAATAGTTGTATTAATTACACTATTACAGTGTTGGTTTGGAATATCTGTTCATACTTAACGCTTCATGGTGAAGTGTTTTTATACCATTACTCGGTCGACCAGATTAATGATTCTTAGTCTATATTTGATTATCCATGACTACATGTGGGGATTTGTTTTACACCAGATGTACAAAGAGACAGCTTAACTGTTGCAAGTGATTTTATGTGAATGTAATACTTTTAATACATTGTTGTGTTAGTAGATAAATTCATGTGACTGTGGGGTGTTTATGGTAAACAAGCCTGTATTGTTTAAATAGATATTTTGTCTTGATTTATTATAAACTTTAATATTGATTTTGTTGTAGTAAGCAAGCTGATAATAACAATTCTGTGTGTATTACTGATTACTAATAATATTTAATTATGCTGATATTATAGGTGTGGATTTATTTCCTAATGGTAATAAAAGTACTAAAAGATTCTCTGACTATAGTTACTCTTAACTAGGTATGAGGTTCAGTATAAAATTGGTACTGTATGACACTTGTGAGACTATGTATTTTACTCATATATAGAAAGGAAGTTGTCCTGGCGTTAAGGTTTGTATGTGTGTTGTTTGTTCATGTTATATTGACTAGACAAGTTCAGACAGGGTTAATATTAGTGAATATTTATTGGATTTATATTTAATATACATGTTTTGAATATTTTATGGGATTAGTATGGAGATATACAAGTAGTAAAATATAATATTAGTATTTTATAAATTTAATTATTGAGTTATATGTTTATGTCGGACTGTATCCAAGGAGATATTATCCTATTAATATCAAGTTAGGACAATTACTTTAAATATTAATAAAGCAAACACTAACACTGATTATTCACTTCTTTAATAAATTTACATTAGAGGTTAGGAATCAAATAGATAGCATATTGGGAAATCTTCACCACACATGTATTTGAGGAATGTTCTTGATAATTAGTACTATATGTATATATTATTGCAAGTACAATTGCAATAAGAATGTTAAACTTCTAATCTTCTGTTCATTCTTGAATTTGAAAGTAAGCTTGGCTACTGATATGAATATAAAACTGCAGCATTACTGAATACTATTAATTATTTCTGGTGTAAACCATGATTATTTATATCACTGATAATTTAGTTGTATATTACGGTTGATATATGATGATTTTATATTTAATTATATTAAACAAATACAAATAAACAAACTTGCTAGTATTTGTTACGTTGACAGTTGTGATAGATAATCAAAATTCAATTCAATACATCAATACGTCATTCAATACGTCATTAATGTGACAGATGTCAAACAAAAGGAGATTATACACGTTATGATTCTATATCTAAGTCCATAGAAAATTTATGTAATTTTCTGTTATTTTATAATAACTGTAGGGGAAATATTGGAATTATTTATATGAGAAATTTCACTTAAATGATATGATAATTATTTAAAGACTTAATTTCTTAGGGATTTAATCATGATGATTTAAACACTAAAACACTTGTTTATCTGAGAAATCCTCTTAGTAAATAGGTTTACTAAGACACTAAAAGGAAGTAGATATAGTATAACTATAGTACAGCTACAATAATTGTATGGGACTTACTGTCCTTTCTATACAAATATATATTTAATCTATATCTTTCACATTATAATTATGCAATATATTGCCTCTACTACTACAACATACACAAATAGGACTTATTGTCCTTCCTATATACCTATATATAATAATTGACCTGGCACTTTAATGTGTAATTTATCAGTACTTATGACAACAACCAATTAGGACTTATAGTCCTCTCTATAAAGCTACATAATTATTTAATCTGATTATTTCACAATGTGATTAATCAAACCTCTACAAATATTACAAAAGATCTCTATTACTCTCAACACAATAATAGCTTGTTGGACTTAGTGTCCTCAAACTTATAGAAAACCCAACTGGTTATTTCACGAGACGTTGTTAACTTGTGATTAATCAGTGTCTTTTAAAGGACTTATAGTTCCTTTAGATATATCTCTCTGAATAAATAATTGGTTAATTCACAATGTGGTTAATCAACAATAATATTATATATAATTGACTGGACTTATAGTTCATTCAATAGCACTCATTACTTTTAGTAGCTCTCGACCTATGGGTTGGACTACTCGTTCTTAGGCTCCGGCCTAATCAACAGATTTAACTTGAACCTTGAGTATTCTTGGTATTAAGTAAATAATATTAAATTGACAATGCTATGTTATGATATAGCAATTATCAACATTATATGGCTTGGCCAATTCCAGGGTGTGGAAGGTATCCCCTATCACACAAATCTTCATCTCTATCGGACTGTCTTCACAGGTGATCTCTAATGTCACATTATAGGGCCGAAGGGTTATGTCCCAACAAAGTAAGTTCTGGTGTCTGGGTGATCTCGCTTCTTGGTCTGATCTCTTGTGGAGCCGAAGGGAAACCCCCATTGAGTAAGCTCGTAACAGGGTGACGCTGGGAAACAGTTTCGTACTGTTAGTGGGTGATCTCTATGTCGCCATATAGGACTGAAAGGGTCATCGCCCATGAGTAAGCTCTCGTGTCGGAGTGATCCTGGGATTTCAGTTCCGATCCTTTTGCCTCTGGCAAACACCAATTTATACTGGAAGCATCGTGGGGCTGGTGGAGCCACTGTAATGTTGAAGTAAATGTACTTATGTTTGGTTTGGAACTGAGAATACTCATGCCCTTATTACCATCAGAGTGCATTAATAAATAGTAATACCCTTCCCTACCTTTTAGGAGGAAGAGTTATAGATAGTTGGAAAGTCTTCCACTGGTCCGGGCGTGTGAGGGGCCCGACCGCTCCCCCATTTTTTTATTATTACAGTTATTCTGTAATTTACTATTAAATTAACATAACTTCCTAGTTACATGAATTATGAGTATAATTCATTAATTATTCTTAATCCTTAAAGATTTATCAATCATCGTCATTATTTAACTCCTATCATATACCAATTAAAGAACCTTTTGGTTATTACACACACAACGGGTCCTACATTACTAGACGATCACACATTTATTTATCTGGCCAGATGATCAAGTGTTCTTAGAGATGGGCAATCCACCTGGGTGGGTTTAAAGTCTGGTGGGTAAAAACCGGGTGTTTTGGGTTTATTGGGTTTAAACCCCATAAACACCCAAATTTTTGGGTGTTTATGATTTTGTACTTCATCATCGTCATCTCAGCCGCAAGACGTCCACTATACTGGACATAGACAATATTATTATGCAGCCTACAGAATAAAAAACTTTTAATTTGATTTTGAGTTTATTAAGAAAGAGATGAAAGTAAAATGTAAAACTACAGTCAATCACTGTCAGATTCAGAGTTATTACAAGCGATGAATTGTATAGGTTCGATAGGCTCTATTTCGTCTAAACTGTTATGTTCATTTACTTGCTCAATGAAAGCTTCTAAGGTATTTTCTTCATTAAACTGAATGTCCTCGCATTCAGCTTTATGTTTAAGATTCCAGTTACAACAAATGAATGAAATTTTTTCAGTTCTTTCAGTTGTAAGTCGATTTCTTTTGTTATTATGTATGTAGCCTTGGATACTAAAGGAACGCTCAGTGGCTGCCGAAGTACAGGGAGCTGATAGAATACGAATCGCTACTTTGCTTAACTCAGTGGAACCACAAATACCTTTCCACCATATTAGGGGCTCAATGCTATCTAATGAGCTCCATACAAATCCTCTGGCCCAAAAGTTTTCTTTAGCTTTATAACACGCCAAATCTGCCATTACATTTGACAAACTTAAGTGTTGGCTTAAATTGTAGATAAACTCCATACCCTTAAGTTCTTCCTCTTGAGTAAGTTCGACTCCTAGAGTCCTGGGGTCTAGAATATATGCTGCAAAATGTATTGGCCTCATTGCCATATTGCATCTTGAAGATACTGATGTTAGAATCTGCTGTTTGCTTTCTTCGCTCAATGTCGAAATCTCATTTAATGCAAAACGTATCTTAGCTTGTACATCTCTAAATGTAATGTATGTGCGATGCAAACGATTCTGGTCGCTCTCTAAGTAAAATATGCTTTCAGTGACTGGTTCCAAAATACTTATACATTCCCCTGTCTTCGTCCAGAAATCATCACTTAGAATTAAATCTTTAATATCTCTTGAAATTACCACATCTTCTCTAACTGTTAATATTTGCAAAGCTATCTTATTTGCTTTCAAACTTTTTAACGAAGTAACATGACTTCCCCATCTTGTAGCACAAGGCAATTTTAGTGTTTGTGTAGAATCTTCACCCTGCCTTGATTTTATCAACAAGGAACTTAATCGTTGACTCCTTTTAACAGTTTTTATTATATTTATGGCTTGCATAATAAACACAGTTACTTCTTGTATCTTTACAATATCTTGGCACAACAAGTTAAGGATATGTGCACAGCAACCGAGAGGAACAACATGTGGATATTTGAGTTTTGTTAATTCGAATGCCTTTTGTATATTTCTAGCGTTATCGCCAATAAGTACAAGAAACTTATTTGCTCCATACACTTTCATTACTTTTTCAACTTCTTGGCTAAGGTATTCACTAGTGTGAGGATTACTTTCTGTATTCAAACTTTTAACGTATGCAGGTTGAGGTTTTGATATAAGAAAGTTTATTATTCCTTCATTTCTTAAATTAGACCAGCCATCGCACTGAAGGTGTAAGTAACTACAAGCATTTAGTTCCTCATTTAACTCAAAACGCATTTCTCTATATATTTTATCTAAGTATTTTGTCGCTAAAGCTTTACGTGAAGGTATTTTAAATTTTGGTTGCAATTTTTCGAAAAATTGTATCCATAAAGGATGTTGCACCATCGATAATGGCGTCCCTGTTACAAATATAGCTCTCGCTAATTCTGTTTTTATATGATCATCGGTGTCTTGAAACTCAGCATTTATTGTAGTGTTAGCAGACGACGAGGGGCTTATAAAAGAATCATTTGTCTCTATCTCTGACAGTCCAGACATTTTGGTTTTGGACGAGCTATCTTTTATAAGTTTCATAGAGTCTTTTAATGTTTCTGGAGATTTTGGACAAGTGATAAGATGTTGAAGCATTTTGGCAGCATTACTGAATTTGTAGACCTTATTACAAAGCTTGCAAGAAACAGACTTGTTTGGTAAAGTACGGTAGTGCTCCCATATGCGTAAATCTTTAGGTCTCCCCATTGAACCTAAAAAAATGAACGATGATTAGTTGGTCTGACGAAAATTCAACAATAGAGTGCCTATTTTTTTACAATGATTATTTCTTGTTATTTACAATAAATTTATTAAAAAAATAATAAAATAAATACAAAAAACCTTTGTAAAATTACATCTCCTCGGAGGATTAAACGCAGACGCTAGTTTATTATCGTATTGTTCTGTATTTTTCTCAGCAACTTCTTTAATTCGATTAGGTACTTACGCATATTATGTTAAAAATAAATATCTAGTACACATCTTAGGCTATCCACCATTATTATCCAATGACGACTCTCAGCTAACTATGCACTATCATCCAAAATAAACGTGTATGGAAAATTTTATCCCAGTCGGTTGAGGATTGAGGATAATTGCATCAACATACGAACATACCTACATACTTTTATTTACATAACGCAAGCTAAATAAAAGCTTGTAATAATACATCTAATTTTAAGTTAAAATTGTTAAGTGATCATGATATAATTGTATCATTCAAAAATCCACTTACCTTTAATTATTTCTTGTTAAGTATAAATATTATTTCAAATCTGCTCCCTTAATATGCACTTTTTTACTGCTTTTCCTACCTAACACGTTACCAGGAAGTCACGTTACCAGAGTCAGAGTAATAGTGAACACGTTTGACAGTGATTGTCGTCGCCTCATATTCAGCGTCGACGAATAGGGGAATCCCCAGTCATAATGTATTGCATGCGTGGCGGTCTTACTTCAAATCCATAAACAAAGAGATAATTACAGAACTCGATACTAGATGGCGCTGTTTTTGTTTGAAGAAAGTTTGCGGGCTAAAATACATAGAATTTCATCAATGACTTCCACAAAGAACAACATTTCTGTTTTTTCTAAGTCCGTATCTCTTCCGTATATTTCATAAGATATAAGCTTGGGCTACATTGTTATGCAACGTGATTTTGTCGCTGTCTTGCTAGCAGGGTTGACAGATATACGATTTAAATCGTACTCATACTATTATTTGTCTATTTTTTAATGTACGATCGTAAAGATTATGATCGTAATTCGCACAAAAACATAAGACTTTTTGGTTACCTGGCAACATTTTTATTATGAAACGAACATGCTCACATCATCAGTCACATGCAACAATTTATTGGGGATTTCCCCTTCACATCTGGCAGTCCTGCTTGCTAGAATATAGGTAAGTCAGCCACAGTTACTGACGATCGATATTTAAAGGGTATTGTTTTTGTGCTAAATATTTCATAAAAACGTTATTTAATACTTTGTGGATTATTAATTTAGTTGATAATCACTGGAAGTAAAATGGATGCTAATTTGAGAGATCAAGATCTTCGTATAAAACAGTTAATAAAAGAAAATCTACGTAAGTACTCTTTTTATACCTAGGTAGGTAAGGTATAATAAACACAAAAGGTACTTAGATCGCGTGTGTTCGAAGCATTTATTCTAATAAATTTAATTTAAAATTGTAGAAAGAAAAAAATGTCTGCCAAGCCGTAGCCGAAGCCGATCTCCAAATATATTTGGCGATAGTGAGACCCAGTGTCCAGATGATTTACCCAGCGTCGTCGCAACAAAGAAAAAAAACGAGGATAAAGTAAAAGAAAATTTACTGAAAGAAGAAACAAACTGTTAATTTATGGAGAAGAGGATAAAAGAAATGAGTATTTCGGACTGTTAGTGGCTCAAGAATTTAAATATATACGGCCATGTGTGCGAACGAGGTGTTATGAAGAAATTTTAAAGTATCTACGGGAAGCAACAAGGCCAACATGTTGATCAACTGCAACATGAAAACACTGAAAATTAATTACTTTCATTTTATTATATATAGATTTTTAAAATTTCCTGAAATATTATTAGTTAACGTTTTATTTAATATTGTAGAATTGATCAATACAATTTATAAAAATAATTTATTGGTATTACTTACATATTTTCAAAAAAATACGTAAAAACCTATTTTTTTGGGTGATTATGGGAGTTTATGGGTGTTTATTGGGTTTTTACCAAAGCACCGGGTTTAAACCCGGTGCTTTGCCCATCTGTAAGTGTTCTACTATAAGATCTGTTCAATATTATGTGTTTATTGTAAGAGTTTATATGATTCATAGGATGTTTGGGGTGTATAAGGCAATATAGGTATGGGGTTATATTGAGGGTGTTAAGCCATTCTTTAGAGTAGGTTTCATTGGATTTTCATAGATTTCATTAGGTTAAGCCTTCGTAGGCTTTTCTTAGGCTTTGTAAGTTTTCCATGTGTAGCTTAGTTTAGAGGGTAGTTATTATATGAAGGGGTACACAGGGGCGGAAAGGGGGGGACCAGCACAAAGGTTATAAGTAATTTAATATCGCGATAAGATTACGGACGAAACCGCGCAATATAACTAATTATTGATAAAATTTATAAAAAGGAAGTTAAAAAAATCAGAAGATATTTTTAATTAAAAGGCCCATACAAACAAGTAACTCCTCCGTTGTAAATTACGTTTATTAAAAAAAAGTTAAGAAGTTTTACGTTTATAAATAGAAATAAAATTGTTCCAGTTTTCTCCTTCAGGCTCTTTTACTTAATTTTTGTCACTAAAAATGAATATTAAAAAACCGATTATAATAGGCAGTATCCGTAATCGACGTAAACTATAAAACGCTTACTCAGAGGTTGGTTTTCGTCTATCGGTGACAAATAAACATTTACAATTACAGAGAGCAAACAAATGTAAAATATGTAAGACGACATATTTATTGAACTGAACTAACTTCATCGTGACTCTGTAGCTCTATTTATATTAATTCCGTAATAAAATTGTCTGTGGTCAGATCATTATCATTCATCATATCAAACCAATAAGTATAGTTAGTCATGATCTCATATCTTAATTACATGTTTACATCCATGTACCTACTTACCTGGAGTTTCTTTGAAAATTTTATTGTACTCCTCCCTTTCCCTGACATGGCATCAGAAAGAGACAAGAAGATCTTCAGGTCTGCACGGTTATATTTACGTCAATGGTGATGTTGTTTGCTCCGTTATTTTTGTTCATAGAAAAACTAATTCGTTTAGATACTTCGGTGCTAGTGAATTAGTGCAACATAGTGTAGAAACAATACCCAGAAGAGTCCGAAAATAACAGGCATCAAAGAATTTTATAGCTCTTTCCTTTTTCACTATGACTGTAAAGTCTCCCGGCAAATATTTATTTCAATATAATAATTGAAATAAAAGACGAAACAAAAAATTTTGATGTAACATAAAAAATTGAAAACAGTAAATAAAGAAAATCGTTCGCTTAACGGAATATATACCATATAATCCAACTTTTGCTTTGACATAAATGTTCAAAAGAGCGTAGGGGTAAATCTCACATGTACATGTACACAATAAAATTACCTCCGTAGTAATTATGTTACTCGAACATCACACAAGGTAGTAGAAGCTGTGTAGGTTCATCAATTTGTTTAGTAATGAACATTGATTAACAAAACCAACTAGATGTCTCATAATGTGAGTTTCTGTTTTAATTAATATTATTTATTTATTTTTGGTGTAACAAAGAATTGCAGCAAAACACAAAAATAAACAATAACAATTATAAAAGTTAAGTAAAATACAGCAGCGTAAAGTACACATTAAAATATATACATAAAGGTACAAAAGGCGATCTTATCGCTAAAGCAATCTCTTACAGACTACCTTGTAATATAAGAAAGAAGAGAATTTATTCAGAGATCATATAAAACAAAAAGTTAAGTTTAACTAATACAATATTTTGAACTAAGTAACTAACAATAATATACTAACTAACAATACATTAAATACATTAAAATAATAATATATGGAGGTAGGTAAGTGTGTTCCTATTTTTAATAACAGTATAAAATATAAAGGAATTTATTCAGGAAATCATTCGTCTCATACAGAAAGCATTTTTTAAGTTTTTTGATTAATTTTTAATGTTCAGTTAGACGATATTATTTAATTTTTATTATTTCAGTAAATTTTTAGTTCATGAGGCGTTATTTAGCAATATCACATCTGAGTTTTATTTCAAATCTTTGCTTTATCTAGTTCTAATTCTTAATCGAAGGGCAAGCAGTAAGTAATAAACTTGAGTTATACATGAACTTTCCTTGTCAAATTAGAGCAGTTAAGAATATTGAGGATATACCAAAACATGGAACTTACGATGTTTTGAATACAGTTTCATAACTTCCCTTTATGTATGCGTAATAAAATAACAAGTAGCCATTCTTTGATAAACTTGCAATCTTGCGGAAAGATGACAATAATGTTGGAATTGTCGGTATCACTTCGCAATTTCTTTAACGAAATCCATTAGTGGTATGACGGCTGACGATATAAGAGTACTGGAAGTGATTGGGTAAATTCACGTTCAATGGTTTATTTTATTTTTCTATGGATAAATAAAATCTTATCTTATATAAGTTGAGGGTCTCTATACTTTCTAAATTTATCCTATAAGGGTAATCCTGTATTGCGAGATTCTTCCACGCTATATTTTACGTATTTAGGATCATTTTTGCGCGGTTATCTTGTGCGGCTTTATACAATTTAGCTATGTTACAAAATACACAGTAAAATTTCTCAGTATAAGCATATAAATCGACAACATATTTTTTGTTTATATTTAAACCAGATAATAAGGTTGTAATTTGATCGTTGAAAATAATGTAAGTAATTCTATATTTTATTGACATAATCATGTTAAAAAATCAGATTAATATAAGCCAGATGACCTGAGTTCAACCTCATCTTTTTGTTCCTCACTAGTGCTCCGTTATTGTATACCATTAACATATGTACAATTACATCAACATCTATTGAAAAAAAACAACATATTTATATATTATAATATAAAGGGTGTTATGGACATCATATTATCGTGTATTCTATTATATCTATATTCATTAGGCAACGATTATCACTTTCTCTCATTTAGGCCGTCAGCTTGTTTGTCATTCAAGTTAATTTTACTAATTACATAATTTTACTAACAAAATTTTAATTATACAATGTCTATAAATAAATTATATTAAAAAAAATTATGTGAGGGATCTTAGTAATAGAATCCAAGACAATATTTTTTAGAAATCTTCTCTATCTATTCGTCTGTATGTTTATTCTGGCATCATAAAAAAATAATTGCACCAAATTGAATGTGGTTTCTACAGTTCTATCTATCTATCTATCCTATTTAAGAGCTGCGCTCTTGTCGGTGGAGCTCTTGCCACTCACTGCGATTTTCAGCGAGTCTCTCCACCTCTTGATACGACACGACACCAACTCCTTCCTTGATCTGCCTGATGTAACTATGTCTCGGTCTCCCTCTCCCCCTCCTTCCTTCTATCTTACCTTCTATTATAATGTTCATAAGTTCGTCGTGTCGTATCAAGTGTCCCAATATGTTTCCCCTTCTGTTCTCAATAGTTCTAATAATTTGTCTTTTTTCCTTAACCCAGTTATATTTCTTAAAATCTAGTATGTGTTTAATCTTGATACGCCATCTAGCAGTGGTGTGTATCGTTGATTTTCCTACTTTTCAAATCCACGCGTACCAAATAACAGGCAAAAAGTTAGTAAACAATAATAAT